GTAGAGACAAAATGGCAAAAGTCGGTGTCAGAAAAGAAAAAGCCCCTCCCTGAATGATCGGCAGCCTGCAATTCCCAAAATAAGAAGATTCAATAGAGCAACTTGAAAGATTGAGCTGAGTCCCGGGAGGGAGGGTGACTGGGAGTTTTCAAACACTTGAGAGGGGAGGGAAGGAATTCAACTGTGTCACTCTCAACATGTCAACCCTGCCGTCATGTCGAAATCCCTGTGTTTTTTGAGAGTGACATTTTCCTACTGGATAGATTCATCATGTCCGCTTTTTCAGCTCCATTACAAGGTTCTTGTGTTGAAAAAACTAATTGATCTTACAAAGTGGGAAAGGAATGACGATAATAACGGGCATTGAAGGACCTTCCCTTAGCCATATCCCTGAATCCTTGAAGCGGAGTTTCGGAAGATTGGAATTGATCTGAACTGGATGGGTGATTGCAGCCAATTTAGGCACTTGGTTTGTGGAGACAAAGCAGAAAGTAATACGAGCAAGGATTAGAAACGTGGAGAGATAGCTCCTTCCCAGAGCCCACAAATGTTCCACCACCTGCTGTTTTTCTCCTGGCCCCGCCTCCGACTGGGAACCTGGAATATTCAACGCGATCGTCAAAAGCCTCTATGCTCCGGTGAACGTTTTTTTTTATATCCATTGAAAAAATACCTACAGAAATTTCAGCCCCGAAAAATTGACACCTTTCACTCCCAAGATTTCATTAGCAATTCTACTTACTGTCTGCCACTCAATTTTTAATATGTGACTTTGGTGGATTTGGTATTGCATCAACTAATAAAACCGTAATTGATAGTTTTCTTTATTCTCATTAGTAGTCTGCTTGATATTGTATTGATTTCTTAAGGAGAAATTCTGTCTTGGTCACTCGCGGGAGCTATGCATGGTGGCATAATCGAAATTTACAAAGCTTCATTTACAAAGTCTAATCAACGTATTCATTCGGCCTTTAGCCGTCATTTAATTTACCGCGCCTTAGCCTTGCCAAAAACCTTTTGAGCGCTCTTTGGAGCATAGCAATTACAGTAATAAGACGGAAGTTGAGCTGTTTTAAAATTGTCTTTTACCGACCGTTATACCTTTGATCAGGACTTTACAAAACAAAGAGTTTGTATTAAAGAAAGGTTACATCTTTGAGTATTTTCAAGCTGGAGATATCGTGCTAACCTCGTATTTTACTTACATCATGGTGGGGAAATGAAGCAATGATTGAAATTGCGTCCAATCGATGTAGAGATTTAAATTTTGTTTATCGTTCCTGAATTTCCAACATTTCCTCTTCTTCTCCTTGCATCTTTTTTACATGTCAAGAAACGGTGAGGCAAATTCCATGCCATATCCATCCAAAGAAATTAAATAGCCATACACTATAGAAAAAAGACTTGTCCGCGTAGATATTACTCTGAAGTATGACCTACAGTGACAGAACGTCTGACCCCTACCTGACTCCAAACGTTGACTGCAACAAAGTGACAACTCCAGAAACAAAAAGTATCGTGCTCAGAACTTCACTAATAGCAAGGGTGTTACTACCAAAACACATCGGACCGCTAAGAATGAAGGGAATTGACAAAGTTCCTCCTAGCATTGTAAGGTAATGCTGAAATAATGAGAATAGTAATGTTGATTAAAAAAGCAACGTTCAAATTATTAAGGCATTCCTCCGTCTCGTACCGTAAAATAACACTTTCTTTTCTACAGAGTCACAAAACTCACTTTCCCTTCAATTTTCTTTCTTAACCACAAGTTCGCTGAGTGTTCTTTGTGAGACATTATGTTTAGAATCTTCGATCTTGACTTTTCGATTCAAATGGAAAATTGAGAAACTCGGGACTTGTTGCTTAGACCAGATTCTATTACAGAGGCAAAGATTTTCATCGAAATCTCAGTCCATGTCCTTAGAGGCAGATTATCCCTCTGACATGTGCCTATTTCGTGTCATTGCCTCCTTTGACCAGGGTCTTGGTGAATCTCAGCCTTAACAACTCCTACAAACTCCATCATTGTTATGTGGCCGTTTGTTGGCCATGACAGACTTGTTAAATGACTGTACAGATGGACCTACGGTAACAGTAAGCAGTCTAAAAAGACAGAAATTGGAGGAACTAGTTTCACTTCAGTTCGTACCTGAAAACCCAGCAACAAGCAGATATACCATGGTGGATTTTCGTCGATGAGGTAAGTCAAGCCGAAAGCTCTCCTTTTCTTCTCAGCATCGGGCTTGGAAGTCTTTGAATAACAAACATACTCTTTTAGTTCCTTAGTGCTTGGCTTCTAGCCTAGCTATCACATATGACAACCTTTATGAGGTTCACACATCGTGGCAAGGGTGACAATAATTTGAATGGACGTCTGCGTTCCTTAATTGAATAAAGCTGATAATACTTTGGAGAATTGATGCCGCCGACTTTGACAGAACTACGCGAGGGGTGGGAGTGGGGGGTGGGTTGTGTGCTGGCGGAAGAGATTATCTTATTATGTGGCAAAACTTGGCCTGAATTTTAACCAACTGTAAATGATGTAACTTTTGTTCGTTAAGCTAATTAACTCTGTGCTAAGAAATTTCTCAAATGTCCCCGATGTTGCTTCTACATATCAGTGATCACTCTCACTAGAGAACTTATCATTCACTGGTCTTCTTTTTGGACGACTCAGGCGTCTAACGGATTTTAAGGGATTATTCCTTATTTTGATACACCACGCGCTCCCGCCCAGTGCTGGGGGTGGATGGCGTGACAACCCTTGGAGAGCTTACGTAACCGAGTTCTCTGCTACTAGAATAAACACTGTAAACGTATTTTGAAAGATTTACGTCAACACAAGCAGGTAAAACTGCGCTAAACGTAACATCAGGTTTTCGTGTGCGTGTACTGCATCGTGTTTCAGTGATTTTTGCACGACTGATTTGTACATGTCTCTTTGATACATATCTAAAATTTAGCTCAGCTGGGTTACAAGCCCAGTCTGGAGAACAACCCTTAGCCAAAGGAATTATTTATCTCAATTTTCTTCCCACGGGTTCAGTATTTGAGGATCAAAAGAGTGATCTTAGACTAAATTATCCTCGGACCTGAGCGACCACATTACCAACCGGCATTTTGAAGCAAACACGTTCCTTACCTGAATTTCCTCTCCACTCATTGTAATTACTCCGCGTTCTTCGGACTTTTACATGTATATATTACTGGATGAATCGGTGGGTCCTTCTTACCGATCACCTTGAACTAAAAGTAGACAAAAAGTGATATATGTCGCCATCGCTCTTTGGGTTCAGTGGGATTACAGACTGCAATGTGGAACTCATGGCCACAGGTATAGCTTAATATTGAAGATTAACGAGATGATGTTGAACAATAAGAAAATAATAGTTTAGCAAGAGGATGTTACACTACGTAAGGTACCTCACTGTAATTTCCTCAGTAGACGGTCGGTTTTAGCCCCAAACAACGGGAGCATGTATCAAATGTCGCTAGGACTGGCATCTCAGGAATGTGACGTCTTTCATCAAGGACAGTTTATAAACATACAGTCTAAAGGGGCGTGTGAGGACTCATATGAAATTCTGTTGGAGCATCGAGTCACGCACTGGACTGGGAATCTTTTGCCACACTCCGATGAACTTTGTCATGTTAGCCAAAATGAAGTATCGAACCATCAGTTGGATAAAGCAAAGCACTGCAATTTTCTATTGCGCTCCCCGACACGCAGTAGATCGCACAAATCAAAACATTGATTTGACAAAATTGATAGGTCACAGGGATATCCTGATGACTCGCTTGACGTCTCAAAACGTCAGTCTTTAAACTCTTTACGGCTAATTTACGTTTTAACTCAGTTGTTAACACTAAATTACCTGTTATACTCTCCCACCAGTTTCTCTAGAAACTTACCCCCTTTATAAAACAATATAGTTTATATATAATGGACACTAGGGTTTCTAGACACTATACCCATGATATCCATCAGCCCTCTACGCCTGACAAAGAGGTCGACAGAGAAAAAAAAACGTCGGGGGGGAGGGGAAGGGAGGATTCCAAAAGAGCGACAGATTCGAAAGTTTAAGCATGCTCAGATATCGATCTTGGCGAAGTGCCATTTGATGACGCAATATCTTGGTAATAGGAAAAAGATCTTTCGACTGAGATTAATAGCGTTTCCTTCGGTAGATTTTCTTCGAAAATTAACTCAGTCCTAACCACATACAGTTCATATTGTTGCATGAAGCGACTAGCATCATGGCTACTCCCCTGGATGGAATGTTGTCTGTTGCAGTTAGTACCTGTCTGCCTCAGCATCCTTTTTAAACTGGTACGCCTACATGGAAAAGAAACAGTGAGAGGAAAACTGGGGCTGATAGACGAAGTCGCGTGATGGTAAACTTCTCAAGAAAGTTAACGCACATTTGACTCAAAGTCGCGTTTTGATCTGTTGTTTGAAACAAGTCCCTTCCGACAAATTTGGATCATTTTGGGAATTGTAAATGGGAAAATAGAGAAAATATATATGAAAAGACTTTTTTTTTTTTGGCTTTTTGATGTCGGCAAAGACAATAAATGAGAGCCGAATGAGACGAAATTGCAAATTTGGCTGTCAAACTCAGTTAAAACGCGCCTGGATAGTGCCGTAGAATCAACAGACAGAATAATTATAGATAACTCCAGCAATTTCATTGGCAAAGGCAATGATAATTGAGATAAGCAGGTCTTAAAGTATTACCGTGGTTAATCAAAGGGTTAAAACTTGGCTATGTTAGCTGGTTACAATGAAAAGGGAGCAAGTATTTTTGTCCAAAAAGGTGTTTAAACAATTGCATTAAAATTGAGTGGAGAAGTTATAAGCTGATCAGGGAGTCAAAAGTTGATGAATATAAAAAAAATGAGAATGCAGAAGGATTCTAAGCCAACACCTTTAAAGAAAAGTACCGCTAACAAACAAGAAGAATGAGATGAGAGATGTCTGGGAGGTAGCATGTCAAAACTACACCATATCACTTGCTTTATTTAGTTTCCTCCTCATAGTGCATGTGCTAACAATGTAATATTTCCTTGAGCATAACTTGAACAATAACTGCAGGTAGCAATTTTTGTTATATCTAACTACCCTCATTCAGCAAGATACAAAATTGAAAGCTAAGACTATTGCAATGCAAACATTGCCTCTGGCAAAATGAATGCCTCTAAGTTGATTCCTCTTTAACTGGCACCACAGCAACAGGGATATGGGTATGATGCAGAACATAGTCACTAACACTACCCAAGACAGTGCGACGCAGGGGGCTGAGACCCCTGGTGCCCATAATGATGAAATCCACATTTTTAGATGCTGCATAATCAACAATTGCTTGTCCGGGATTGTTACTGCTCTCACTCTCAAACTTGCGATGCTGGAAATGTCAAAAGAATGCAGTACACTATGATTAGATATACAGTTGTCACTACATAAATATATACTGATTTAGCACCCTGAGCATTTTTTATTTAATTTTCTGAGTCAAGGGTCTGAATTAGTTTGAAAACAGGTAAAAACATCAGTGTCATACTGATTAAACTTATTGGCATATGTATAGATATATATCTGAGCAAATTCACCAAAACATAACCAAGAGCACAGCAAGCTCAAAGTCCCTTCCCAAGCTCCCTCCTCTGGAAACTGAAAATTCTTTACCTAATTGTTAGCCACCCACCCTCCAATAGGCCAGTTTGCAGGCTACCTGCAGGTGCTATCCTTGATCTTGAGCCCCCACATTTTTGCTGGCCATGCTAGCTTATAGGTGGGCAGGTAAAACCTAGTTGGTAGGCCTTTGCAATATCAATTTAGCTAGGTCCAAATATGACATTTTTGACTCTCAACCAACCCCCAGTTATTGAGTCTTAGCCCATTATTTGGGCTGTGTGGCAGGGCACAAGCCTTATGGCCAGTCAGGCAAAACAGTGCATTGTCAAAATAACTTAACAAAACTCTTCCAACCAATGGGCAAACTACAATAGGTTGAGAAGTCCAAAACCTACCCTCTCCTCCCCTTAGCTTTGGACACAGAGCTGCCAGTGACCCACCCTCTAATGAACTGGTTCAAGGTTACATCCAGTGCTGGCCTTAACATTAATCTTCTCCAACTAAAAACCTAGCCGATGGGTGTTTGCAACCCCTCCTAAGCCAGCTGTTTGGACTCTCTACCACCCTCCAACCACACAGCATTCACCCACTACCTGAGCTGTAGCAGGGAATAACCCAGTGATTGTCAATCTTGCAACATGTCAGGCATGTGTTTGCAAATCCAAGCCGATATACATTTATTTCTATATTTCACAGTAATTTTGATACGAATGGAAAACACTTTGTTTCCCTCCAATATAAAGAAAGTCCAGATTTCAAATCTTCCAATAACTTTTAACTAATTCATGATATCTAAATAATGTCACATTAACATCAAGTTCTCTAGATGATTTGTCTGGGAAGTCGACTGAAACTTAAGAGGTAAGAAATAATTACAGTTGATCATCTGGAAGACATTTAGTTTGAAAATAAAGACAGACCTTTACTGAACCGCATTTTGTTGTGAAGTCATTCTCAACTTTTTCCACTTCCTTCATTGTTTCCTCCATGATTTTTTTCCACTCCTCAGCTGGAAGCTGAAAAGGTGCTGTAAAAGTGATGTAGATTAAAGAAATTAAAGTTGTTTCTAATAAGCCTGGAGTTTGGCTAATCTCTCTTAGAGTGTCATCTTGTAGTAACAAGGAGAGACTATTTGGTAATCAAAGCCTCTTTAAGATTAAGTAATTGTTTCCTTTATTCTCCATGTAATTGCTTAGGTTCAAGTTACTAACTAACTTCTTGCAGTAATACTGCAAGAAGTTAGTTAGTAACTTGCAGGATTTATCATGTATGTACGTGCTGTATATAATTTCATCATGTTTGTCTGCATAATGTACAAAATAAAAAAAAATGGGTTGCTTCATTCAATTAATAACATTTATTCTCCAACTTTACTTACCTTTTAAGCTAAAGGTGGGAAGATGTTTCTGCTGCCAAACATGATAACCAATCAACTCATCCTCAGGCTGGGAGGCTTTTTCCAAGTACCCTGTGAGATACACAGACTAATCAAAATGCAAGCAGTTTTAATTTTTCTTTTCAGTTTGCACATTTTAAACCTGCATGAAAAGTTTATGGTGCATAATGGTCACAGCAGATTGGCATGGATTTTCTTGACACAGAGTATTTTGATCTTGTGTTGTTTTAAAAGGGCTGAAATAAATTTAATAAATTTGTGTATATGGCTAGAGAAGTCTGCCTGCATCTTTAATGGAAGGAGTGATCATTCCCATAAATTTTTGACAATTTTTAACTTGAGATCACCTTGTCAGTCACAGGGTGATCATGCCTTTCTACTTTGGGAGGGGTGTATGATAAACCGATTGAGAAAATTGAATAATTTCCCCTTACAGCCTTGACGATTAATTCATCAAGCCTGCACTGCTACTGTACTTGTGCACTGATAAAAAACATTAAATGTAAACTGCCAAATTATCACAGTAACCAAGCATCATTAATATTCCAACATCAATATACACACTTGAATCTTTTCAATAATTTAGGAACTTTCCTTGCGTACAAAGTGCATCTGTGTGGTATTGCTAAAGATTTGATTTACGACAGCATTTTTTATATTTACCTGACAATACATTACATTTTTGTCATTTTCTTGTGTATGTATCACGCAAACAAATTCGTAACAGTCGATTTTCCGAATATTGCAATCAAGATTTGTTACCGGCAACATTTACACACTCCTTTGCAAAGTCCTTCGCTTAACAGGCTAGACATCAAAACGTAAGACTTTATTAAAATTTCAATATAGCGAGCAGTTATCTCAAGAATATTGATAAATCCTACTGACACAATAGGCTGTGATCTGCAAACTTTAAGATTTAAGTCATTCGATTAGCTGAATTTACTTAGCGACAGTCCAGTGCATCGAACGCACCTTTCGCGGATTCACGCCCCCATTCCCTTCAGAGCGCACGCAAACTAGCGAGTCAAAAATCAACACACTTACACTTTAAAGCATAATCAGAGTTCTTGCTGCCATCCACTGCAACTAATACCTTCCTTTTACCGGACATGATTCTCAAAGCATCAAAGCAAAGTGAGATCGTGGATCGTGCGAGTTCCCTCCGGACTGCTAGTGTTCAGGAAACCCAGTTTAATCGTGTTTGCATTATTTATCGCCAATGGAATTACGCGTACGCTTATTGGTAGTTTTGCTCATGAAAGAACCAATCAATTTTATCGATGCATCTGGGGACTGGGGACAAGACGTGCACAGTTGATTCGGAGAGTGATATATTGACAGATTGACAGCTGGAAGTGAATAGTACGTTATTGTATATGATGATCACAAACTTAACCGCGCACTTCATTTGAAGAGTTAGTGGAATACACAGAGCAAAATGTCTTCAGGAAATGTTGTCATTATCCCCGTTGACGGGAGCAAAAACAGTGAAAGAGCAGTAAGCTGTAAGTCTCTGTTTGAAAAAAACCGTAGATCAAAACTTACGTGCAATATTTGTTTACGTTCTCAAATTTACAAAGCTAAACTTTGCTTAGCTTAGTCATATCCACATGATCAGATATTGGTTATAAAATAATAGTCGGGAATGTTTCAAAGATTAATTGGTCTATCGATGCACATCGTTCGCTGATATGTGCACTCCGATTCGCTGGGATCTTCTCCCAGGTTTCTTGTACTGTGTCCGAACGTCAAAAAGAGACTTAATCAAGAAGAAACTCTCTTTTTTATTATTCTTTTGCCTCCCCTTGAGAGTTTATTAATACAATGTTAAAATTAGAGTTTAAGCGTGATTAACTTAAGAAAAACAATGCCACGAAAGCGAGAATCAAGATGAACAAATATCGCGCATTTTTAGTCCTACAGCACACACGTGAAATATTGGTCGACTTTATTTTGTGATTTCAAATTGCAGCCGAATGGTACATTTCTGAAATGCTTAAATGTATTTGTTTATTTACCAAATCTACTTTTGTCGACCTATGTGATTTCATCATGGCGGTAGTTTTGGTAGAATTTTACCATTCAAATATTATAAAACCTTAACGGAATATTGCTGCGATATTGTTTTAACTCTAGAGGTCCATATTGTAAATTAGTAAAAAAGATTGACAGAAGTACTTACGGATATTTGCTGATTCCTTTTTTTAAGAACCAAATATCAAAATAGCAAGGTTACATAAGCGCCACCTTAACATCCTACTTCTTGAGACATATAGTGTTCTTTTTTCATGTTTCTCCCATTGAGCAGGTGATTAGGAGTACATTACATGCAAATTCAATGACTTTAATTACTTTTTGGTTGACTGTAGAGATTGGGTAAATTCTGTTTGTTTTTGGTTTTTTTAATTTTTTAATCATTTTTCATCAGGGTATCTAGATCATCTTCACTCTAAAGGTGACAGAGTTGTTTTCATCCATGCATTTGATCCTCCACCTATGCAATCTGCAAAACACAGTAAGTACAGGTTTATTGGATCTAATGATCATAAAACTTCCACTGAAATCATGTGTTCAAAAAGCCCAGATACTATCAAACTTAGGGTACATGTAATATCTACCTTGAGGGTATCTGAACTATATTGTAGAGATGCAAAACTGGTTTTTGATATTAGTTAAGAAATCTTTCATGAAACTTGGGACAGTAGTGTTACTTGATGGAACAAGTAGGTTTACATGTAGATTTAGATCTACAGCTGCCTCAAGGTTAGCTTAACCCTTTAACTCCCATGACTGACCAAGACAAAATTTCTCCTTACAAGATCAATACAATATCAACCAGATAAGTGATGAGAATAGAGAAAAATATCAGTTTAAGGATAATTAGTTGATCCAGTACTGAATTCTCTGAACTGACATTATAAGAATTGTATGGTTGACCATGAGAAGAATTACAAATTTGATCTGGGAGTTAAAGAGTTAAGGGATATTTTTAAAAATTTTTAGTTTGTTGAGTTATAAATTACTTCTTTTAAGAATCTTATATTAAGATATAAGAATTATACCTACCTGATTGCAGCAATGTTGTCACTGAAGAACACAAAAGCTATAGAAGGAAAACAGACAGGCAACAAAGGAATTAATCAGCAATAGTCATACAATGACTAAGCTACTTTTTTAGAATGTCAAAATAATAACTAACCCTCTAAGACTGAACTTCTTTTCCAAAATTAATTCTCCGGCCTTTCATACACATAGTAACAGGAAAACTCATTTTTTTCATTGCATAAGAAGATCAGAGTTACTTTTTGAAAGAACTCTTTTATATTTGCTGGTTCATTGCAGAATGTTGGATGGAGTCAGTGCTGAATTTGAATTTTACATGTAGCTTGCTTTTATTTGAGTTCCCTGTTTTTTCACTCACTCAGGTGATTTCCCATTTTTTCCTTGTCAAGAACACATCTGGAGAAATTTCATTGAATGAAACGATGAAATTTCTCAAGATGTGCATATCAGTGTCCAGATTTCTACTTAACTTTAATCCTTCATTTTTCTTGCATGATTCACTTTTTTTTGCATTTTAATATTACAGTCAAGCCTCTTTTTGTGACCACTTCTTGCTAATGACCACTTTTTTCAAAATTGCAGTTATACTAAAACAAGGAATGAACTAAAATGACCTAAAAAAACCTAAAATGACCTTGAGTGATGCACACAATGAAGTAAAATAACCTTGACTGATGTCTAATATAACCAAAAATGACATTTAAGTCTTGCTGAAAAGATCCACAATAGTAGCTGGTAGTAGCACAATGACCCAAGGTGTTCTAAGTGGTCTAAAGTAGGTAAGCACTTAGTTCGCACACTCCCACACTTTTCCTTAGAGTGTGTTCAAATTCTCAAAGGTTCCTCTTACTTGAAACTGATCACCGAATCTTGCAATGCACGACGCTTTCATAAAGTTTGCTTTTTCTTGAGACATCACCTTGAGATGCCTGTGATATGGCTGGCAATTACTTTTTTAAATTGTTCCAGTTAAGTTAAGACATCATTTCATGTCATTTTAGTCAGTGCAGGTTATTTCCAATCATTTTAGGTCAATACATCAGTCAAGGTTATTTTAGGTCCTTTAAGGTCATTTCAGACATCACTTAAGGTCATTTTAGGTCATTTTAGAAATCACTCAAGGTCATTTTAGGTCATTTTATGTCATTTTAAGTCATTTTAGGTCATTTCCTGTTTTAGTAACTACCTTTTCAAATTACCAAAAGTTTCCAAGTCAAATCACTTCAAATGAAACCTCTTGAAACCGGACATCTCTTGCAAGCAACCACTTTAAGAGATGCTTGTTTTTAAGATTCATTTGTTTTTAACCCACCATAGGCCACCATTTGACAGACAATTGGCCTTATCTCTTACAACATAATTTGAAAAATGTTTTAACAAATGTTTCCATATAGCCACCAGAAGTGTTTTTCAAAATAATTTAAATGCATGAATAAAGTAACAAACAAGCCAAGCTTCTTTTATGTACTTTTTTTTTTTTTTTTCTTTTTTTGTGTTCAACTTGACATCTCACTGGTGACCTACCAAGTTAAACACTCAAAGAAAAATTCTAAATCAATGCACACCCGTGTATTATTCTCTTTATAATACACTGTCTTATGACTGATAGTCTATCAGTTCTGAGTGTGTTTTCTGATATAGGTATTGGTTAAATACATGTATGTAAGGAGATCAAATATAATTTTGTATTTAATTTAATCACTTCTGCAAACAGAAGGGTTAAACAGTATGAATACAAAGAGTCTCTTCCAGACTTGTATGCACAGCATAGAAGTAATCAAAAATGTAAAATAATAAACTGTGAGATTGGATGCTGGAGACCACCCCCTCTAAAAAAAGTCTAGTTGTACAAGGTAGGGTTTCAATGAATTTGTCTGCAGAGAATTACATCTAGTACTGACAAAAGCTTCACCGCTTGCATGACAAGCATGTTGTTTTGCCATCAAAGATATGAGACTGTCCTCTTAATTTATTCCAAACTAGCTGCTTCAATCATTGTTTCTCAAGAGGCAAGATGCTCTTTCAACTCAAGAGACAGAAGTCTCACCTTTAAAGATGATATGCTTGACTTGTGCAAAATAAGACCAAGCAGTAATTTTTTTTTAGCAGTACTGTCACTACTGAATGACCATGTATTATTTGCTGTTTACTCTTGATCTTTTACCATCAATAATCATTTTTCTTTCTTTTGCTGGGCAGCAAGTGTCGACCTCAAGAACAACTATGATGAGTGGTGTGTCTTAATTCAGAAGGCCCAAGACAAAGCCAGGGGCCTTCTGAAAGAGTATGATGAAAAATTTGCCTCCTTAAAGGTCAGTGCAAGTCTTCTTTCGTACAGTAAGTGCATTTCATATTGGTAAGCTCATGTTGTATGTAATTTATAACCTTGCAAGCTTTGACTACAGTGCAATCAGGACAGGAGAAAAGGTTGTGTTCCTTGATGTTACTTCCAGTGATTTCTATCTCCATGTGCTTTAAGAGTTCCTCTTTGTGCATTAAATTATCGGTTCTAAGATTTTTGTCCTGTTGCCATGCTAACTTAAAAAGTGCTCCCCTCCTAATCAGCACCCCCATTTTAACTGAAATATTGAAGGAGTGCCCAAGCACTTATTTGAGGAAATACTGTACATCATGTTGCTCCCTGTGTTATGGTCGGGCCTTATTATTGTTTATACAGAAACCCATTTAACCCAACCTTACATCTGAAATGAAAAGATATAGTTATGAGTCAATAATTTCATCACATTTTTGTTTTTGTACCACATCCTTTTGAATTTTCACTTGGAATCTTAGGTGTTGGTAAAAGTTACTTTCAGGTGAACTGGAGCTGACTGAATCTTCAAAGTGTTGACATTCAATACATCATATGTACTTCACATATACCAAGTACTAAGTTATCCCCACCCCCCTTTCGCGTGGCAAAAGTTAAAAGTTCTGAATTTTAAAGGTAGTTGAAGGTCAAGGCTAAGAAAAAAAACATTATTCTTGTTTGATAGGGACAACTGTCATACAAGATGATTCATGATTCAGGCAAACCAGGAGAGGTCATAATTAGTTACAGCAAGAAAGAAAATGGAACAGTATTAGTAATGGGTTGCCGAGGACTGGGCAAGCTTCGGAGAACATTGCTAGGGAGCGTCAGCGATTATGTTGTTCGGCATTCTTCCATACCTGTGATTGTGATACCTCCAGCTAAGTGATGGATAGGCAACCAAGTAGTATGATAAGCATAGATTATTAATGAAGGAAAAGAAACATTGTTATTTAGAAAGCTACAAAATGCAGTGATGCAAGCTAGAGTCAAGTCAATCAATAGTATTTAGTGTTATTAAGTTGAAATAATTTTAGATTATATGAATAGAAATTAGTTTGGAGTGAATAGAAATGATTTGTTTGACACACAATGCATCACTTCATAATTTAATGTACATGTTAGTGATATTCAGATACCTGTCAATCATTTTCGAGTCAAAGGAGTAGAATTTTTTTATTTTAGACAATTTAATTATGTCTGCAGATGTTTGCAGACTTTTGGGAACACTCCTTCCATTTCCAAAGTTGTCCCAGAGAGTTGCTTCACAACCTTTTCTTTGATGTCCCCTTTTCTTAAATCAGAGATGTTTGGGAAAGCATGATCACTTGCACTTCTCTTCTTCATTTACTTTTTTGTTACCTTACGCACTTAAAGAAAATATGTCACTCAAAACTTTAGCATTAAAGGTCCAAATTTTATCACAGGTGTAAGATTTTGGCAGGTAGATAGAATTTACTATTAGTATTACTTAAGCTAAAACTGAGGTACAATCTATTTGTAATTTATTGTACAGTTGAACTACTATAATAGGTGTTCCCACCCCCCAGGCCATAAATTTCATAGAAGCACCCTTTCCCCTACAAAAACCTCCATGTGCCCCCTGATTTTCATTAATAGTAGAGATACAAGAAAACCTGTTTCTATTGGCATAATATTTATAACTTTTTAAGCTTCAACTACAGTGGAATTAGTACAGGAGAATTGTTTCTCTTCCATCTTGTTCCAGTTGTTTCCAACTCCACGTGCTTGCAGTGTTCTTTTGTGTGTCATCAGTTCTATTTATTTTCACCCATTGCTGGGCTAACGTATTAAGCATCCCCTTGATTAAGCCCCCTCCTTTCAATAAGTGCTGCCTTCCACCCCACCCCCCTTTTAGCCATCAATCAGCATCTGGATCATCAAATCAGCACCTGGATGCTTATTTAAGGAAATATGGTATCTTAGTTCCAAGGAACAATTCAAATCCTACTTATTTTGAACAACATAATCCAGGGGAACAAATTTTATATACCATATCAGATATTGTTAAGAACAAATAATACCTAGCATTTTTAGGGAAAGTTGGGAAATATCCACACCATAACTGCAAAGGATTACATAAATCTACTCTAAAGGAAGCTCTCTGATTTAAATATATAAAAATCAATATGAGAACACTTTGTTTGCACAACTACTTATAAGAAAACTAATATTTCTGTCATTGTTTTAGTTCAATTGTCTTAAATCATTTGCATTGTGGTCTCTCATTTTCATTACAACCTACATATATAATTCAATAAAGGTTATCATGGATATCATTGGTTTTTTATCACTTATACCCTTAAACTCCCATGAGTTGACCAAGACGGAATTTCTTCTTACACTATCAAGTAGACAAGTGCTGAATATTTCAAGAAGGGGTTATTAGTTGATCTGGCACCAATTTTCAAAACAACATTACAGAACTGTATGGAAGACAGTATAAGAAATTACTAAGAAAAGATCTTGGGAGTGAAAGGTTTAATACAGAGGATACATCTAACAGCACCATGTACATCAAAGGTAGCCATTAGCTCTGCCTTCATGTGCCTAGTGATTATACATCTACATATATCAGAGTACAATTAATTAACGTGAACATTGATTTGTTTATTGAAATCAGAGTGCAATCTCACAGTGAAAGTTCTCAACTTACTATACAACTTCTAATGTACAACTTTACGAATCATTTGATGATTACCAGGCTGACAGAAATGTAAGAAATACTGCTATCTTATCTATGAGATTCCCCTTTACTGCCAACACATGCCAATAGTCTCATAGCTGTGTGTGACTCAAAGATTGTCCTAGACCACTGGGTCACTAACTATATTTAGTAGATGGCCTTCATCAATGTAAGTTAGCAAATCCATGATGCTCAAAGCGATCTGGAGGTGGAACAACTGACACAGGAACACTTGAATGGTGAAGACAGTAGTCACTTACACTCCCTACAAGAGCACGGCTTACTGTGCCCAACCCACGGGATCCCATTACCACGTGATCAACTTTTCTTTCTTTGATAACTTTACACACAGCCTCTCCTGGAGCTCCATTCTCCTTGATGAGCCGGCATTTCAGCTGCCAGAAAAATAAAAGATCCACTTTTCAGAAGAGTGAGAATCAAAATATACCAATAAAAGAGCAAAAGGTTAAATACAAATTTGTAAATATGCAAGTAGAGTAGATGTTCTTGCGAACTCTAGTGATCATAAATATATGTTGCCATGCAATTCAACCATGGCAAATTCTTCAGGATCAATTCACCAAAAACAAGGAAGCTCTAAACCTGTATTAACTTGTATACAGATCTTTTCAAAAAGATAAATACTGATATGCAGAATGCAGGTCACCAAATTTGCCTTTGAGTCACAAGCATAGAAGACTGAAATTTAGAAAAAATGCTGCATAGGCTGAGGCTGCAGAGTTAATCACAAGCTAATAAGAAAGTTAAATATATCATTACGCAATTTCAAATAAAATGGAATGAAAGCTACAATCCATCCTGGATTGCATATATTGGTATTAATAAAAATAAAATAACCATTAAGTAAACCCAATTTGAGCAAAAACTGAGCACAGCCTATGTACATATACTGTATCTTTGGTTAAAATATCTCTGCAACATCTAGGATAAAATCTTTATATAGAGAGGCCTTCAAATACAAAATAATTTATTTATTTTGAGTTTTTTTAATGGAACTGTTACCTACATTGCTTTCTTGGCATTTCTTGTAGTAGGATTCTAAAAGTGTGCGGGCTTTTTGGTCACTTTCTTCAAGATGCTTCTTCCATCCATCAGTAAATTCAAAACCATCTAGAAAAACAAAATTTATCTAAATTAAACTATTAAAACTTACTAAATTAAAGACACCAAGAAAAAGTATTCATTTGCACTGAGAAACATATTCCATAATTCTTAAAGGCGTTGCAATTACAGCTTGTGCATTATAAAACAATTGAAGCTTCAGAATATGAAAACTTTTCATGAGGATGGAGAGACTGTACAAGAAGCTGTGGAAATAAATAAGAATATTGGAGTTGAAGTTTGAGAACTTCATGAGTTTTAATGAGCTTCACCTGAAAAGGTCACTTTTGCATTAGGATCTGCATAAATTGTTGCACTCACAGCCAGTGAATAAAAGCTATAACTGCAGAAATTTATAAGGCCTGAGCTGGCAGTGTATCTTTATAACACCATACCACAGAAGAAATTATTTTACAAGTACTGTAGAACCTTACATGGATATGGCGTGGCTGGTAGTGATGGTACCTCTGCTGCATGGAACACCAATATCTCATCATCCTTGCGATAAAAATTCTTTGTATACCCTGGGAAAACATAAGGAATTTATCATATACAATTCTCACTAAGCTGCATGAATGGTACCCATATTTTATCAAATACAAATAAAAGTGCTCTGATAAGCTGACAAATGCACAAGTGTGTAAATCAACTTTTTTGGCCTTAATAAGCATGTGCCACCAGAGAATTAAAGGATTGGTTTTAAGAGGCCTGAGTCTTAGCTAAGGGTAATTTCTAAATAAGTGTTGAAAGTAGTCCATGATTGCAATGGGTTGCTTCACTTTGCTCTCTGATTCAGGTCTTGAAAATAAAATTCACTCTCTTAGAAAATCAAATTCAAAACTTAATTCATTACCAATTTGGTTGCTCATGTTTTCCAAAGCTTTAGGCAATTTACAAATTTTTATTTCAAATTCTAATTGACTCCTAGTGATATTTTCCTTCGCATTGACTAGCTGTTACATGTATGATTATTACTGAGATTTTGGTTTCACCACAGTTGTTCAAAACGTGTTCTCAACATAGTACACAATTTCAGTATTTTACTCAAAGAATTGGATATTCTCAATTGGTATTGGCTTCTGCAGTAAGAAATCTTGAGTTCGATATTCAGTAACATATCAATTAAATAAAAAAAATTTAATCGTATCTTGGCATCATATGATGTTACTACATCAGTTAAAACTAAGAAACGTACGGAGGAACTAGACGGGAATTTTCCTCGACCAAAGCACCCTTTGGAGCAACTGCTTCATAAATTAAAACTGTCCCTGGACACCCATACGGAAAACGTGCTAGGCAAAGGTGCTTGATTGTCAAATAAATTTCCCAGATGAATTGGCACAGAGCTGTTAAGTAGAGTATAACCAGCTGACAACGATTATAAAAGACTGATAATGATCCAGTTGATATTTATTTAATCAAGAAAATATTCTCTCTGCAATAAGGTGGAGCAATCTAATTTGCCACCGTCGAATCCTCGGCGAGTGTGGAATATGGGAAATCATTGTTGTTTTTTTTTTTTGAGTTGAGCCGGTCAAATACAAACTGAAAGCTTTAAACATTTGAGTAGACAAGTTCAACGCCTCGTGTGTAGATAGGGGAAAAATAAGCTGCGATTTTACGGGAAAAAGATCGATCGTCCGAAAACAATGAATGTACCTAAGCCGAATTGGTCAATTATGCACTGCGAGTCACGAAAGACGCCAATACTCACAGTCAAAAGCTCTCTCGCTGTGTTCACTGCCATCAACAGGCACTAGTACTGTTCTCTTCTTAACGTCTTCTTGCTGCTTTGCCATACTTCTTTATTCGGTAGCAAATGAAATTATTTCACCAGCTTACTGTGTGTTAAGTACGTTCCCACCGGTCAGGGTCGTGAAAACTGGCACGTATCGCTGACACGTTCACACGCGTGATTTTTGTCACGAACCTCTTTTTCGTGAACGTGTGCGAAAAGATCCCGGATGGCTGTTGAAATATTAAAGAGGAATTAAAACAGAGGAGGTTAGGAGAATTTGAGAAAGTTATGCAAACCCCATACGCATAACTGTGAAGAGGAACACGGCTGAATCTCAACAGATCCTGTAATCGTTTTATGACAAGTGTAAACACAGGAAGACCACCTGATGGGTGCAACGTTAACAGGCAGGGCGAACTTCTCGCAAAATAAAGGAACGTATTGCGGTTGCTAATAAAGGATTGAAAAACAAGATAAACACCTTATCTCTATCAAACAAAACCTCAAGGAAGTGAAACGAAAA